AAGTTTTTCTGAGTTCTAGTGAGAAGCCGTGACCAATGGAGTTCAAAATTGACAGGTGTAGATTGTTACTTACCGAAGACATTAGGTGAGATTGCTCAATAGCTTGTCTTAATTAACACCATTGGATGCTGACTCAGTGATCTAGAGGTTAAGCTTTCTCGCGAGAGACCGAAAGTTGTGGGTTCGATTGCCGCGAGCAGATATCGTGGATGGTCACTACTGAAATGACCGTCCAGCGGTTCTAAGTTTCTGATGGTGATCTAACAATGGTTGATTTATAATATGGGAGATTTCTAGTTATTGTATTGTTCTCGTAGTTAAAAAGCATGAATCGACCTTAGCTAGACCACCATTGAGAGTTCAAAAGCACTAGACGGTCGTTTCATAACTAGTACGGGACTCTCCAACAGTGTGTATCCACGCTATAATTGGTTACTAGTATGTTAAGAGGATTCCTGAAGTTCACGGTGGGAAGTCGTGACTTATACATTTCAGACGTATGTAAAGTGAACCATTTTTCATTGATGTGACTGGATAGTCATTTTTTAATATCATAAATTGATTGCAGTCGAAATTTACTATTGGATCTCACCCTGGTGGTTCCAAGGGTTAAATGTTCATCGCTATTATTGAAGGTCCTAGGTTCATTGTCTGGTAGAGTCATCAGTGTAAATTCATGAAGAGTAGCTTGCTACGGCGAAACAACCCTCTCATGCTTCCTGTTCTTCAATGGTATTCCAAATTGTGTCGTTGTAATCCTAGTTTTTCGTCCCAATTTGGAACTCCTCAACGGTAGTAGACATTTTAAAGCGTCTACAGGTCTACAGAGGCATTGTTTTTTGAAGTAGTTTTTGACAAGCACGTGTTTGATTTTTAAAAGTTCATTTCAAATATCGATTAGCCTTAGATTTTGGCAGTTGTAAATAGTTGTGTTCTGCAAGCTCGAACGATCACTATTTAAGCCCCATATTTCGATGAACTGGTGATATTTAGCCTTGGTATAGTTAGTGTTGATTAGACACGAACCGATAAATAAACAATAAACAGTATCATAATATTTATTCATGAGTGCTGACTGAATTCTATTGGTCAATTTGTAATGGGTCCCTAAGTTGACTAACCGAACATTACAATGCATTTTATCTGATAGATAGCCGTCTGTACAAGGTCTCTAGAAGCAGACTTTTTTCACTTGGGGCAGTCAAACCAAAACATAGCAGAGATCCATGAAGTCACTAACAAGTGAACTGAGTCATGTTGGTAGATGTAGGCTACCTGGTTGTGGTCCGCAAGACGAAAGTAACCGATAGTTAGGGACCTTGAATGACATGGCTCAAAACCGTTTACAATGGCGCAGGTGCATCCACTCTTTGTGTTCTCTAAAAATTCTAATCTTCAGAATTCCTCATCACCTCTCTCTTTCTCTTTGTAAAGTTATCTTACTAAACTATGCTTCTTGAATAATATCTTCAAACCCTAGTCTTCTCCATTACTGTTAAATCTTGTACTATCTTTTCCACTGTGTGATTTGAACTGACATTTACATCTCTGTGCAGATGCGGAATGGCAACTTGAAGTGATGTACTTACATACGAAGTTCTACAGTGTAACTAACTGATTGACTGACTTCTTTCTAGATAAGATATATTTATAATTCTGAAGGGAAACTGTAGTAGTTACCTATAGGATTCTAACATTCATTGTTAAATATCACAATCAGAGACATTATTACAGAGTTATTGGAACGTGAGCTGGTCTTCTATAAGACACTTATTGTTCATAGAGTTGTAATCAATCTCCCAATATCTAACTCTCACTGTCGATTTCATTTCTTGAATTCAGTTTATAACATGACTAGTTATAATCACTTAATATTATGCGCATACACACACACATGTACACACTTTAGGGAAATGTGTACATGTATTAGAGTTTTGCCTAAAACCAAACACATTTATACTTGATTAATTGAATTTCCAAATAAAAGTTGTTATTATTTAGTGTGTAACTGTGCTAAATTCATCTAGCTGTGTGCGTGTATTCGTGTGTGTGCGTGTGTGTGTGTGTGGGTACATGTACGTGTACATCTATCTATGTATAATGTATAGTGTACAATTGTGTTCAAGTATTTGGACACCTTAAGAATTTTTTTTAATCTGTCAGTTTCATAAAAAGTAGTTAGTAAATATGTGAATGTACTACACTTTATTACATTGTATATATATTGTTATACTATAGCTGTATTGATAAAAAAAGAAACTAGTTTGCCCCTATGGAAAGTGTTAGGCTTAAAGTTTCTCTGTGAAACATTCCTTTCATGCATCAAATCTGTTTGTTTGTTGGTTGGTTTTTTCACCTTGTTTGCTGCATACAAATGAAATAAACATGTTTTCAGGGTTGAGATTTTTTCATTTGAAACTGATATTAGTTGTAGTATTCTTTCAAGTTGTTATAGTAACTAGATTCAAGAGTGATTTTTCAAAGTTTGGATGATGTGTCATGACTGTTTGTAGCCTTTGAAAAATCTATAAAGGGCTAAAAATGTTTCAGCTAATCGGTGGCACATAGACGGAATTTCCCGGAAATTTTTTGAGTGGCAAGGGAAAATGTGTTGCACTCTGGTTAGTCATTTACGCACTTTGTAATTAAATTAAATTGGTTTCTAGAAACTACCAACATTCCAGGACCGTCAATAGTCCAATAAATCTTTTCTGTACATAAGTTATTCTTGTATGTAAAGCTTCCAGCCTTCTTTTTAGGAGAGTATAGTCAATTACTAAGTCAGTTACAACATAGAACTTCGTATGTACGTAGATCAGTCCAAGTTGCCATACCACATTAGCACAGAGACGCAGCTGTCGATTCAAATCCTATAACAGTAGAGTTAGTAGAAGAATGAGCAGTAATCTAAGAGATCAGGGTTCGAAAATGTTATTCAAGAAGTATAATCTTGTGAGATAAACTTAAAAGGAGAATTATAAAGATGATGAAGAATCCAGAGGATTAGGATTTGAGAGAAGCCAAAAATGAATGCACCTGCACCATTGCAAACGGTCTGTAACCATTGACTACTGTTATCTCGCTGACGCCAACCAGATAGTCTACACTTAACAACATAACTCAATCCAGTTGTCAGTGGCTTGACGGATTTGTGCCATGTTTTGTTTTGGCGGCCCCTAAGGACAGTATAAGGGAATTCTAAGTAATTATAATGTGATTACAGAATTACTGTCAAATATTCAAGTACCAGACTTATCCAGTGACGTTTGAATTAAACTTGTAATTGTATTTTCTAAACATTTGAAATCATCAATCAATCATTGTTAGACCATCATTAGAAACCTAGAAGCACTTGACGGCCGTTTCGTCCTGGTATGGGACTCATCAGTGGCAGCGCGCATCCACGACTCCTGCACCTCGCGGGATTCGAACTCGGGACCTTCGGTATTGTGCGCGAACGCATAACCTCTAGACCACTGAACCGGCATCCAACGATGTTCACGTCCTGCTTCATTCAATCCATGATATTGCGCGATTTGATCCATTGTCTTCTGTGGGTAACTGCTTCAAACTTGAGTGGTTTAGCCCTCATTAGAACTCCGATAATTTCCTCATGGAATTAGTCACTAGTCAGTATAGGATTACTTTTTTTATGGGTTTATGGAGATTATTGAGAAAGATTTCAATTTCTTAAAGTTAATTCTTTAAAGTTTTCTAAATTCTAAAAGAATTTGTTCAACAAACAAGAGATTATTTTTCAACAGTTTTTGTAATTTTTATATAAATTAAATGTATATATATATATAAGTCATTTAGTTTTTAGTATTTTGTTAACTGTCATCTAAAATTTGATTACATTATTTTTGTGTAATTTTTTCTAAGAAAAACCACAACTATTTGAAAGAAGGAATTTTGTTTGAATTATTCAAATGTCACATTATCATGCATGTCACGGAAACATGTTGAATATTTGCTAGGATGAAAAAAAATGAAAAGGGAGTTAGATAATGGATATCCTTGACATGGAATGGAATAGAATAAGATTTTATTTTAATTATTGTTTTTTGCGAAACACTTTTTGTTACGTTCATCACTTGGTACACTTGAAGCTATTACCAGTTCACCACCTTAGTCGATAAACGCGAACGAGACAATAAACCAGCGTCCAGATAGGCTACCTTGAATCGCAAAAACTGCAAAACAGAAGACTTGATAGGCGTAGAAAGTATATTCTACAACACCCAGCAATCACAATACAATCAAACACACAACTCTCGTTTATTTATACATCATAGAAACGTCCTAGTGGGACAGTTACAAAAATAGCACACTAAAATACACACACAGCAGCCAATCACAGCCATGGATTTTCCTGTTTGGGAATGAAATCTCAAGGTCAACTGATCAACCCGTGCTTGCGAACGTGAAATCCAAAATTAAGGCATTTATCAAACGAGTTCTGGGTTTATCTAACATCCCAAACACTTTTATTTCTTTGTCATTTTATGAATCATATTTCAACTAATCAATTCATCTAGCCAAGTATATAGACAAACCTAAAACTAACAAACACTCTCTTCCCTTGTTTGTGTGCTACATACGGTAGGAGGCTGAAGTGCCTGAATTTTGACTAATCGATCCTTATTTGAGTTCCTATTCCCGATTGATTTTGATGATATTAGCAGAACAGATGGTATCACTCACTTACTCACTCACTCACTCACTCACTCACTCACTAACTCACTCACTCACTCATTCACTCACTCAATCACTCACTCACTCTCACTCACTCACTCACTCACCTACTCACTCACTCATTCACTCATTCACTCACTCACTGACTCATTCACTGACTCACTCATTGGCTCACTCACTCACTCACTAGCCTTCTAAAACAATCAGTTTGGCACAAATCAGAGTAGATAAATTTGTTCTCAGTAAACGATTTTATTGTATACATGCTCGATAAAAATTGACAACTATTGTTTTTTTCTTTCCAGATCAAACAGAATTAACTAGAATCAGTCAATATTGTACACACGTGTGTATATGCACGTTCATCTGTAAATAGAAAAAAAACAAACTAATAATTCCATAAACATACACGTACGTTTGTGTACACAAAAATTAACTCACTGTGTGCACACACACACATACATACAAACAAACATATTTGTGTACAATACACACATACTCACACACACACACACTATTCATTCATCCGATCATGCTTCATAGTGTTGGTCTAAGTGATCCCACTGGAGCTGCAACAGTGGTTTATCCACATTTCACACCATTCCCACCAACAAATACGTCAACATTAAATCCTAATGAAAATTCTAACCAATTTACAAATAATTCTGTTACAAATCATAACAATGTCAGTAATCATAATAATAATACTACTAATAATACTACTAATAATAGTAATAATAATAATAACAATAATCATAATGGGATGTATACATCAAATACAGCTGCAGCTGCAGCGGCTGCAGTTGCTGCATTGACTGCAGCTGCTGCAGCTTCTGCTGGTCTACCATCCAATATTAAAGATTCACGATGGTTGACGCTGGAAGTATGCCGACAATATCAACGAAATCAATGTTCACGAGATGAGAATGAATGTAAATTTGCTCATCCACCAACTCATGTCGATGTACAAAGTGGACGTGTTATATGTTGTTATGATTCAATTAAAGTAAGTTGATTATAATTTGATTAATTGATTGGTTCGTTTTATTATTTACTATTGTATATATATATGTTTATATACTTTTGAGCCAATCAGAAACGAGTTAGTGACTTTTTTCGCGCGAAGTTTAAAAAAAAATGAATTTCAGCTATTAGTATTCACCGTATAAAGCCGGTTTTCCCCCTCGAAATGCAAAATGTTGCTTCAAGATTGGCTTGCATCGGTACCTGAACTAGTGATAGGGAGTGAAGTAGTTGAGCGTGTTGACCACTTCACTTATCTGGGGAGTCTGATCAGTGCTGATGGCCTGGTGACTGACGAAATCTCAGCTTGGATACAGAAGGCTCGATTAGCTTTTGCCAACCTGCGTCACTTATGGCGAAGGCGAGATATCCGTTTGCTGATTAGAGGATAAGTGTACTGTGCAGTTGTTCGCTCCGTCTTACTTTATGGCTGTGATACATGGCCAGTGAGAGTAGAAGATATTCGTAGGTTACTGGTTTTCGATCATAGGTATCTTCGAAGCATTGCTCGTATATCGTGGGACAACCGAGTAAGCAATGCTGTCGTTAGGAAACGAGTACTAGGTAAGGATGGCAGATCAGTAGATGAAGTGTTGAAACTTCACCAGTTGAGGTGGTTGGGACATGTGTTACGTATGGCTAACCACCGACTGCCTCGACGAACTATGTTTTGTAGTGTACGAGTAGGTTGGAAGAAACCTAGGAGCGGCCAAACCAAAATATGGCAGAAATCCATGAAGTCACTGACAAGTGGACTGAGTGATGTTGGTAGATGTAGGCTACCTGGTTAGGGTCCGCGAGACGAAAGTCGCTAATGGTTAGAGACCTTAAACGACATGGCTCAAAATCGTTTGCAATGGCACAAGTGCATCCACTCTTTGTGTGCTTTTTAATTTCAACCTTCTGAATTCCTCATAATCTCTCTACCTTTCTCCTTCTAAATTTATCTTACTGAATTATACTTCTCGAATCATATCTTCGCTCCCTAATCTTCTCCATTACTACTAATAATTCTACTATCGCTATCACTGTTGGATTTGAACTGACAGTTACGTCTCTGTGCTGACGTGGTATGGCAACCTGAACTGATGTACTTATGTACAAAATTCTGTGTTGTATTTGTCTGTCTGTCTGTCCGTATAAGGCGACTAAGTGAATAATACAATGTAGTGTTTAAATTGTTGACAATTGATATGAAAAACATACGATTCTTTTCTATTATCATATGATCTCGACAGTAAAATTATGAAATGCTTATTGATTGGTTTATCAGCTAAATTGTATTCGAATCTGAAATCAGTAAGTGTTCATTTATTTAAAGCAATATATCAATCTAATGATGTTATTAACTGGTGATGAGGCACCAAATACTTACTAGACATTTTGATTGATGTCTTACAATGAGTGAAAAAAAAGATCAACATTTTCAAAATGTCTATTGGTTGGTACCAATGTATAGTTTATTGTTTTGTTTGTGAAGTTATTTCGGCAGGGATACTATCCCCAACTCAGATCTCTTACGACCGAAAAATGAAACTTTCAGTATTGCGAAAAAATCATTACCTGAGATGAGACAAAGGGTATTAGGAGTGTTTGAGCTGGGCTGCATCTCTTGCTATCTTATGCCATACTGTGTATATACCATAGGCTATCCTCATATATAGATCTGAAGGTTTCTTATGAGACTAGTGGTTCTCTGTGAACATTGTGGATGGCTTGGCATTGCATTGGCAAGTATTACTAACAGTCTATATACAAAATTTGTTAGCAGGATGACCGATTCCATTGGTATACTGGTTGTATTTGCAACATTCCTGAGGGCTATTATCATTGGAGTGCTGTATTGCATATCACCATTGCTAATAATAATGAGTTTGTGACAGTCATGTAAGCGGGATGGGTTGAATTGCCTTGTCCATGCGGTGCATATTGATTGACGCGATCGTGGATCGGCAATAATCAGTATATATGTACTTGTGTTTATAAATGGTGTGAATGATTCTACCAGGGTATCAGGTACCTGTGTGGTTGCACCACGTGATTGAACCGAACTGTTCATGTCGAAATGGTAACACGTGAGCAGTCTCCTTAGTTCTCCTGAAAACCAATGTAAAATTCCCCTTGACAAATAGAGAGTTAACTTACATAACTTATTTCAGCAAGTCACAAGATCTAGTGTGTAAAACTATTTAAAACTTAAACAGAAATTCATCTAGCTTTTTTTCCCCAAATGTGAATATAGATCTATCATAAATGTAGTCTAGTTTCAAGACAAAAAAAAATGAAACAGAAAATCTTTTTGATAAACCTTAAACAAAGGAAACTCGCGTAGTATAGAGAAGCATAAAATACATTTTAAACTTTCATTTTATTTTCAGTGATCAACTCGTGATTTAAACTCTTTCTATATATTCAGTAATTTATATAAAACATATCAAGATCACTTTGAGCGTCTTTCAAAGTTGACAACATTAAATTACTAACCTCATAGATCTTCAAAACAAACATGTATTTGTATTTATGTTGACTTGTCTGCAAAAATAGTGTTGTCGATTCCACTGCCAATCACATTCTATTTATTCTACGTAAAACGTTTTCAACTTTCATTGAAATAATGAATTGATTATTGTTAGACAACTACCCCATTAGAAACCTGACAGCAGTCAATGGCCGTTTCGTCCTAGTAATGGGACTCATCAGCAGTGCTCACCCACGATGCCCTCTCTCAGGAATAGAACACAGGACCTTCGGTTCAGTGCTTTCAGGTTTCTAATGCTAGTCCAACAATGACTGGTCATATTCATTTCAATGAAACTTAACAATCTCTATAAGTCTTTCATGAAAATTATTCTTACCGCCACATGCATTGAAGTATCATATGGCTAGTAATTTTTAAATATCTCAGTAATTTTGTTCGTTATAAGGTTGGTTATAAACCATGACGGCTGGTCGGCAGCCGATGCTCCATTAGGGATAACTTACTTACTTACTTTACTTACTTACGCGTGTTACCTCCAATGGAGCATAGGCCGCCCACCAGTTTTCTCCAACCAACTCTGTCCTGGGCTTCCCTATCTAGTTCTTTCCAGTTTTTGTTTATTCTTCTCATGTCTTTCTCTATTTCTCGGCGTAATGTGTTCCTTGGCCTTCCTCTTTTCCTTTAACCTTGAGGGTTCCATGTGAGGGCTTGTCTTGTGATGTAGTTAGGTGCTTTACGCAATGTGTGTCCTATCCATTTCCACCAGTTCTTCCTGATTTCTTCCTCCACTGAAGGAATCTGGTTTGTTCTCTCCCACAATAAGTTGTTGTTGATAGTGTCTGGCCAAATAATCCGAAGTATTTTACGAAGACAACTGTTCACAGATACTTACATCTTATGGATGGTGGCTTCTGTAGTTCTCTAAGTTTCCGCTCCATACAGTAGAACTGTGTTGACATTTGTATTGAAAATCCTATCCACACTCCCACTGGAATCTGGTTTGTTCTTTCTATTAAGTTATAAATTTTTGAGTGAAGTTGAATAGTGACTAGCAATAGAGAAACAAAAATGATCCTGTTGTCAGTATGAATTCAATAGATTCCATAAGTAAACAGGTTAGTGAGACATTTGAACTGAAACATACCAAGGTTCAACCTTCAACAGGATCATTAACCCTGATGTATGCAAAACATTAATCTACTTGAAAAGTTCAAACGAATGACGATGGAACACATATATTCTCAAATCAATGTCCAATTTTTTCCCTGAAAATTGCTATTGATGATGATGATGATGATGATTATCATGTTGAAATTTATGAACATCCGGTTACGTTTCTACATGTTCTAATCTCTCTCTCTCTCTCTCTATTCTCCTTCATTCTTTTCACATTCATCATTCATTCATTCATTCAATCCGTCTCTCTCTCTCACTCTCCCCCACGCACGCGCACTCTCTATTTTCCATTCAACAAACTTTTGGCTTATATTTTCCCTAAATCTTCTCTATTCCCTTCGTTGTACATGAATGAATGAATAAATGTTCGTATGTATGTATACTAGTTTCGCGCGTGTACACATCTGCCCCCCGATATTCGAAACAAACAAACAAACAAACAAACAAACCACTAAACATTCAACGTTCAATATTCAACATTCAACATTTCAACCAACTAATTTCATGTCAAATTTTTATTCCAAAAACATAAAAGATTAACAACATAAAAGATTGTATAATTTATGACAATGATGTATAAAATAAATGCACAAACAGTTAGCTAAAAAAAATAGAAAATCTACTTTGATAAATGATGATGATAGATTTTCTTTCGCAAATTTCTCTTCTGTTCATTTTTGTTCCAATGTTTTTTGGCATTCTTTTGTCATTGCTTGCTTGCTTGCTTATTTATCTTCCGTTTTTTTTAAAATTTCCGCTAAATCTGATTTTATTCTATGGATGATGTGATGATTGATTAAAAGAAAGATTTTTTTTTAGAATGAATGCATTCAATGATCAATTTGAAACAACAACAACAACAACAACAACTGAATTTCATGTTTAAATGTTTGTGACATTTTAAATCTGTTTTTCGTTGTTGTTGTTGTGGTTGTAAGTAAAGTAATTTCAACTTTCCCGCTGTTTGAATATTTCTTTTTTTTTCTGCTTTGACGACCAAGTAACTAATCCTAATATAAACATTAAACTGGTCACGTTATGTGAATCTTTAGTACATACATGCTGATTAAGTTGTTTGTAGTATCATCTAACACTTACTTACTTACTTACTTACGCCTGTTACCCCCAATGGAGCATAGGCCACCCACCAGTTTTCTCCAACCAACTCTGTTCTGGGCTTCCCTCTCCAGTTCTGTCCAATTTTTGTTCATTCTTCTCATATCTTTCTCTATTTCTCGGCATAATGTGTTCCTTGGCCTTCCACTTTTCCTTTCACCTTGAGGGTTCCATGTGGGGGCTTGTCTTGTGACGCAGTTCGGTGCTTTTCG